TTTTTTTAATGTTGTTGCTAACATTTTTTTGTAAGTCCTCAGTGGGCTGGGAATCATAAAGAGCATCTTTGACAAATCCAGATGGATTTTTAAAAACACTTTCTCTGTTTTTTGTTTATGTGGGGATGTTTTGTTTTGATGTCTAACACATTATGGAAAACACCAGTAACTAGCGAACAATTAGCATTAATAGTAGCAGTTTTGCAACCGCTAAAGCAATGGATATTTGAACACAATGTTTTGGTTTTGGTATTTTTTTTTAGGGGGGGCTGGAACGCATGAAAGGCTCTTCCATTCATTTCAGTGGGAGAGAAGTATTTTGAGTTATGAGTATGGGCACTGAACAGCACACTCGTATCTCAGGGCACCACTGTATTTGGACATCTGTGATGATGTCCTTGATCCTTATGCAGAAAAAAGAAATCCATTATTTTAGCTTCGGATTTATATTTCTGCTGAGAAACGTTATGACTCAGCAGTCCTGCCCGAGATGCACATTTATTCCTTTGATTAATTTTGTTTTCAATGAAGGACGATACTACAATTCAGCGAGACAAAACAGAACATTCATTTTTGTTGTCGTTTGTCAACGCGCAATCGGATAAGTTTGAATGCTTGCCCCGACTGCTGTCACCATCAATAATTAACTGAGAAAGTTATAATTAGTTGAAAGTACCAAAAATGGATGAACATTCTGATCCTGTCTTGTTTTTCTTGCACGATACCGTCTGACTCATGAAGAGTAGGTTTGACAAATCCATGTGGGTTTTATTTTCATGGAAATGGGCAGAAACTCTGAAAAGAGCACTCTAATCTTCTCCAGTTTGTAATTGTACCATATTTTCTGTAATTTTAACGTCCACTCTGTGCCATTTGGTCTCCTCTGGGAAAAATCCAACAGTGACATTGTGATGATTTGCTCATGCTGAAAAAAGTAATTATACGGCACAATGCAAAACCTAAAATCTAACTATGCTCTCAAATCAAGGTAAATATGCTCTTTCTTTGTCTGACTAAGCAGAGGCTCAGAGGGGATCAAGCCTTTTTTCTGTTGCTGGTCCCTCTCTTTGGAATGACCTCCCACTGAACATTCGGTAAGCTTCATCGCTGCCCATCTTTAAAACTCGTCTCAAAACTCATTTGTATTCTTTGGCATTTGGCTCGGTATGACTCAGACTTGATCTTAGTTTTACTGTTTTGTGCTTTTTACTGTCTTTGTTATTATTTTTTTTCAGCGGCCGGCCGTGCATTTCAACCTTAGGCCTTCAGTGAGGTCACATACATGAACGCAATACTGTATAGGCTCGTCAAGCAGCACTTAATTTCAGGAGCATTTAAAACCATCAAGTATGCATTCACAATTAAGAGCAGGAAACTAAATTTACAGATAGTCAAAAATAAAAAGATGATTTAAAAATACGAAATAAAATGCCATCCAAATTACGCTGTGTGATCTTAAACAAGTCTGTCCAATAAATTGCGCA